ACAGGAGCTTCCAGTGTAGAAGAAAGTACAAACATAGTGCAGACATACATGATAGTGCAGACATACATAGGAATAACACAGTAGGGATGGAATATAACACTAATACAAGAAAAAAACAGAATTAAATAATGTACTATATACAGAATAGAAGTATAGGAAAAAAATTGTAGTTGTTTAAATAAATGTACAGATATGTTCTAAGTGTGCAGATATGTTATTTACAAAGTGTGCAGTTTACAAATTTTGGATTATGTGTATAAATATGTCCGTTGTGATGGACGATGTATAATTATGAAAGTTTAATTGTTCAGGCTGAATATAGCCTGCGGGAAAAAAACTGTTCTTGTGCCTGGCTGTTCTGGTGGTCAGTGCTCTGTAGTGCCGACCAGAAGGCAACAGTTCGAAGAGAGAGTGGGCTGGGTGTGAGGGGTCCAAGGTGATTTTCTTAGCCCTTTTCCTCACTCTGGAGATGTAGTGCCACTCAAGATGGCGGCGTGTTCACACACTGCGGCTTCTCTCTCTCCCGACAGAAAGGTGTTTTCGTGTTTTTTGTCTTCTGAGTCGCAGTGTTTTTGTACGTATTCGTCGCGTCTATCTGTCTCTAAGCGCGCATACAGTCGTGAGTTTCTGCTCGATGTCGGCAGAACAGCTGCTGTGGCATGTTGAATTTCCTCAGCTGGCGAAGGAAGTACAACCTCTGCTGGGCCTTTTTCACAATGGAGTCTATGTGAGTGTCACACTTCAGATCCTGAGAGATGCTGGTTCCCAGGAATCTGAATGACTCTACTGCAGCCACATTGCTGTTCATGATGGTAAGCGGGGAGAGTGCAGGGGGGTTCCTCCTGAAGTCCACGATCATCTCCACCGTTTTGAGCATGTTGAGCTCCAGGTTGTTAAGACTGCACCAGACAGCCAGCTCTTTAACCTCCTGTCTGTAAGCAGTGACTGCGTCATCCACAGACCTGTTTGCTCTGTAGGCAAACTGGAGAGGATCCAGCAAGGGTCCAGTGATGTCCTTCATGTAGGCCAGGACCAGTCGCTCAAATGACTTCATGACCACAGACATGAGAACGACAGTTCTGTAATCGTTAAGTCCAGTGATTTTGGGCTTTTTGGGGGCCAGAATGATGGTGGACCGTTTGAAGTAGCAGGGAACTTCACACAGCTCCAGAGATTTGTTGAAGATCTGTGTGAAGATAAGGGCCAGTTGGTCAGAACAGATTTTAAGACAGGCAGGTGAAACACCATCTGGGCCTGAAGCTTTCTTAGTCTTCTGCTTCCTGAAGACCTGGTTCAAATCCTCTACACAGACCTTAAGCACAGGTTGAATGGTGGGGGAGGGAAGATCGTCAGCCAGTTGTTGATTCTCCACATACTGTGGGGGTAGTGTCTTGTACAAGGTGATGTTCTTGAGACCAGTCCATACTGACGCCGGATCAAAATGTTTACCAATGTTTACCAAAACATTAACAGCTGAATAGATGTGTGGCAGACGAGCTGTTTGCTTCGAACCCCATTAACAGTTCTGATTTAAAAACATGAAAGCAATGCTTTTAAATTAAATATGAAATAAATGAAAAAAGCTTCTACGTCACAAGTGTCAAGAAACGGAATTGCAGTTCTTTTCTGCTATTGGTCAGACAGACAGATAGCTCCGCCCCAAAACTCCATTGGTCAGTAAGTCAATGTTGCTGTCAGGCTGTTCGAGAATCTCAAACTATCAGATCAATGTCTGATAGTGGCACAAAACACAACTGCTTCCAGTTTTCAGGAAAATGAACATATAAATGGCTGCTTTATGGTCAACTAAACTTAAACTACACACCTCACCTTTAAATTAGGGTGACCTCAAAAGGTACAGAGTGGTGAAAAGCACAAGGCTGTTGTGTGCTCTCATTAATGTGAATGAGGTTTGATTAGCCACCAGTTCCCTGTGCAACCATTCACTAAAATTAACTACAGCTTGGATCGTCCCAGAGCGCAGAGACTTTTGGCACTCGCGACTTCCCCAAAAAGATCAGAAGGGACGATACAGGAACTGGCAGGCGTCTAACCAGGGCAATAAGCCAAGAAGGCGAGAGCGAGAGGCAGAGGTGTAAAACTAAGAAAACATATTCCCCAAGACTAGAGAAGGGGAAAGCGTTGCATGCAGCGCACAATCTGAAGAGAAGAGAAGAGAAGAGAAGAGAAGAGAAGAGAAGAGAAGAGGCATTATAAGAATAAAAAACAACACAGACAAATAAAACATCAGAAGAGGATGATGAAAATGAGAAGAATAGAATAGAATAGAAAGCAAAAGAAGAAACAGAATGGAATAGAACAGAATACATTCCAAAAGGAATAAAAAAGAACATAGCACAAAATTATACTGTAGAATTGAATAGATCAAAATAGAACATATCAGAAAATAATTTGAAGATGTTATAAATAAGAATAAAAAAACACAGAATACACCGGAAGAGAATAATGAAAATGAGAATAGAATAGAATAAAGAAATTATAAATAAGAATAAAAAACAACACAGAAAACATCAGAAGAGAATAATGAAAATTAGAATAGAAGAGAAGAGAATAGAATAGAATATAAACCAAAATAAGAAACAGAATGTAACAGAACAGAATAAATTCCAAAATGGAATAAATAAAATAACAGAAAAATTATACTGTAGAATAGAATAGAATAGAATAGAATATATCAAAATATAAAAAATCAGACAATAATATAAAGACATTATAAATAAGAATAAGACAACACAGAATATAACAAGAATGAGAAAAATTAGAATAGAATAGAACAAACAACAAAATTAGGAGAGGAGAATGTCATTGAACAGAACAAAATAGACTGTACAAAATAGAACAAATAAACAACAAACAAAACCGAACCATAACATAAAATAATAACACAAAACAGAACAAACAAATAAAAAAGAACAAGATAGAACCATAACAGAACAGAATAAACAGCACAAATCGGAACAGGATATAACCTTAACATGACATAACATATTAAATACCAGAGGAAATAAATAAAACAGAACAAAATAGAACCATAACATAACATGACGTAAAACATAACATAAATAGCACAAAACAGAACAAAATAGAACCATTTAACCAACATTTAACATAACTCATCACTGATAACCCTGTAAAACCATGGTCTTGTTCCTGTTTTCCTCCTGCATGTAATCAGGAATGGAAACCCACACTCCATTACCCATAGACAGTCGACTGTATCCAGCTTGCCTACTAAAGACTTAGGTGATGATGTTCTTTCACTTCACTTTTTTGTGGCATCCTATGCAAATGTCATCAGAAATAAATCACCAGAAACTGATTTCCTGCTTTTTTGACACCATGAGTCCTCCTACTTTCTTAAAGCAGTGTACAAAGAAACACATTAATCTGCCTTGCAGTATTCATGGAATCCTTGAGCTTGTTTACATAGCCTTTTCAATGCTGCAGAGCACTGAAGCTTCAGCCCATAGATGTGTCAACATATTAACTCGAGAGTTGGTAAATACTTTACAGGACCAATCTGCCATAAAATCCCTGTTCCTCTGGGGGGATTGAATTAAAACTATTTGTCTGATTCTCTGTTGTGCCCTTCACTCAGTCTGTGCCCCCGTCTGGGCTAAAGTACAGCTAGATGTAGGGTAGAATAGGTAAATTGAGATCATGGCTCTATTATTGGAGATATGATATTAAAGCTAGATTGCTTCCAAAACAACATGCCTGCTTGTATTTTGGGAATTGATGGAGGGTAATTGTGCATAACCACCTAGGGGTGTCAACCATTGCAAAACCACGCAAGGGTGTAGGAGAAATCTGACAACCTTCTCAGCCTGGCGCATGAACATCAAGTAGGTTATGTAACATTCTTCTAGTAGTCGTGACTGATTTGCTTAAAACCAGGTAAGTGGGCGCTAGCATAAATATGTTTACCCCTTACCGATAGTGTGTTTGTTTATTCCATTGATTGTCAGTGCTGGATTTTTGTCTTTGCACAGCAACCAAGCTCTTGAAACATAATGACTATTACCTAAAAATGTTATGCACCAGTAGTCAATGAATGGAATATAATGGTAGATTTGCTAAAATGTGTCCCACAGCAGCTCATATGACAGACTAAATCCAAAAGGATGCAATGTTGGGCACCAAATCTTGATTTTACCATTACCACAAGGTATAGACTGATCTACATCTCACTAACAAGTCAATTCATTTTAAGGCACTGTACACAATCAATGCTTTTTCAAAGCACCTTCTTCAGAATATAAATTTGCTTTCAAGAGGTACATGTAATGTAGTATCAGTTCTGAGCTCAACACGGCGTAAGTCATTACAGTCAATTCATTGACAAAGTAAGATTTTTGTCAATTTTGGATTTAGACCGATGACTCTTGTGATCTTATTTGTTGGTTTTGCCAAACGGTCGTTAAAAAGAGATGCACCACTCTACTGATTCAGTCAGTGTGACAGCAATGCAATGCAGAACCTGGGGTACAACTCTCACAAAAACAAATTCAACATGCAGTAAGGACAAAAAAGTGCAGTATACAGGTTTGTTACCTCTCTGGGTTTCCTATGTCTGTCCTTGCCTTCACTATGCCGGTCACTTTCTTTCCCTTCGTCCCCTGTGTGCCCGGAGTAAGAAACAGTCCTCCAGTCTCGAGGTGAGTTGTTGATGCTGGCCACTTTGGATTCAGTCGCACTGTTATCCTCGTTTAGCGACCTGGATGACCTGCGTGTGAACATGCTCTTCTTTAAAGCTTTAACCCTCATGATTTCACTTCCATCAGCCTCCGAGCAGCACCATTCTGGACTTTTTTCCACCTTCATGTTGTGTCCAGTGGTGTGACACTGGAAAACGTGAGGCGAGAGGTTCGCGTCGGTCTTAACCTGTTCCACGTGGCCATTATCACTTGATTTCCCATTAGCCTCTGGTTCTTGAATCTTCTCATCCAGTCTTGTAAGCTTCGAGAGGACCTGAGAGATCTCCCCTCGCACCCCTGAAAGAGACTCAAGCTTCTTCTCAATCTCACCAATCCTGAGTACCAGTTTGCAGACGCTCTCTTTGAGCTCATCATCTGAGTTCTCCAGTGACTGGAAGAGGCGGTCGAGCTTGATCCCGGTTTTGCCCAGCTTGACAGTGTTCTGATCAGGTGAGCTGTCCCTGTCTGATTTCTTCACCTGAGACAGTGAGCCGTTGCTGTTGTAGCACGATGACTGCACAACTCCAAGAGAGCCGCAAACACTCATGTCATCCAGAAAGCGAAAGATGTCACTGATATCGTCGCTGACAATCTCAGAGTCTTCATCTGAATGTTTGAAGGGTGGCCTCTCTCCATATTTGTTGTGACCGGAGTAATCTTTCGCTTTCCTACTTTCAGGTTGTTCCGTCTGGGTCCCAACACTCATGCCATTGTCCACATTGCTCGACTGAAATGATGGAGAGTTGACACTCTTGTCCTTGTACCTTTTCCCAACCTCTCTTTTCTCAACACTGGGTCCGCAAGCCACAGAAGACATCTCATTTGTTTTGGTTCCATTGGACTTCTTGGGGAATCCTGAGGGAGAGGCAGTGGGCTTGTCCTTTGCACACTGAAAGTGCTGGTCATTTACCATGGTGCTAATGTTATGACGGTGATTGTCCTTTACCACTTTGCCATTTAAAAAGGGCCTCTCAAAGTCAGGACCTTCTTCGGTATTGAGACTCAAGCTCTTGACAGGCCAGGCTGGCTGTTTTCCATGCTTGCTTGAAGTCCTCCTGTTGCTCACGCACTCGGAGACCGTTGTAGGTCCAAAGTAAGTGGACGCTTGCAAGTCATCCAGGCTCTCATGCTTCACCCGTGATTTGTTTTGAATGGGTGAGCTGACGGGTTCAAAGTAAGGGTTGCTGTATGGCAGCTCGAAACTGTGATTGAAGAAAGTGGGAGGCTTGCTCAGCTCCCTCCTGTGGTGGTACTTGCCACCAGCTTTGGGATTCGCTCTGCACTCCGTAGTGATCACGTGGGGTGAAAAGGCAACAAGGTTGTGGAAATCCTCTTTGAAGACATTCCGCTTTTGCATGCACGAGTGCACGGTGAAAGGCTCTCCGCTGGACATGAAAACATCCTTGATTCCTGGGTTGGCGTGGAGAGATTCCTGGTCCGTTGTTGACTCGCTGTCGATGTCCATGGGGAAGTAAGTGCTCTGCATCTCGCATGGAGGAGGACTGACGCTGGAGTACTGTGGCAGATGCTGTAGTTTATCCAACGATGCTGCCCTACATTTCAGATCCTTGGTGACTCCCAAGAGGAAGTTGGGTTCTGAGGTTGGTATAAACTGCTGGCAGTTATTGCAGTCAGATTTTGGGCAGGGTGACTTCCGAGAGACGTGATGACCCCTGGTGTCCATGAGGTTGTACCCCCTGTCGTTATCATTGAATTTATACACATCCGTGTCAGATCGACAGGACTCAAAGGACTGGTTCTTGTGAAACTTGGGTCTCCGACCCATTGGCAACTTGTCTTTGGCCATACCTCCATTCATCTGGATGAGATTAAACATAGTGACAATGTCCGCCGCCACCATGAGCTTCTTGGACTGTTGGTCCTCCACCGAGCACCTCATCTTGTCTTTGAATAAGGTTGCGGGGAAAGCTGGATCCAAGCATGCTGTGTAGAACAGCAGACTCCTCAGCTTAGCCAAATGGACCAAATCAAACCTGGCACACAGGGACTTGCAAAGGTCTTGGTATGAAACGGTGCTATACTTAGTATCCAATTCCTCCAAAATTCTCACAAGGAAGAGGGAATACTCTGGCATGGCATCCATTGCTGTTTTGATTCTTGTTTTTTTGAGGAAAGGACAGCCTGCAGGGGACAGATGAATGATTAGTGACTGAATAAATGTGAGCCATCTGCCAAACTACCGTAAAAATCATATCAAGATGCAGGATCGTAACCATCATAGACATACTCAGAATATTGATTGATCAGTATGGTGGTTTCAATGACTTTTACAATGGGCTCCAAAGTCTGAGACTATAGAATTCAAAACTTTTAGGATTTTTTTTTTTTAAGAAAATTAAGACAAAGAAATGTTATGGCATAAAAAGAATATGAAATACTTAAGATTCTACACCATTTCTACATTTGTGACATTAATTATGTGACTCCCTTATGCAAAATATCAGATTTTCATGCTTCAGTTAAAGCACAAGATGCTCTTTGCTGCTCAAATCATGCTGGATAACATACAGTAGATCTTGTAAAGTATATGCCAGCTCAAGTTCATAATGTCATTAAAACAGTTCTGAGAAATTCTAAAATTATGCACGTTTACTTACTGACATAATACTAATTATAGTGCTTGTGATTAAAAAGCAGTATATGGATAATAGCTCAGACAGCTGATTTAGGAGAATTTGATAAGAAATATTTGAGTTCATATTCAGATCTACAGACTTTGGTACCATTAAAAAATGAGCACAGTTGCAGATATTGTTTAAATCTCTTCTGAAACTCTATAGAAGAGATATGAGATGACTAAAAAAAATATTTCAGGAGAACATTTTAAAATGTTAAAGCAAAAGTCTCCATTTGCTCTCCATTTACCTCATTGCTGTCGAGGAGAAACAATATGAAATAAATCACATTTGTAATATTTCTTACCTATGGATTTGTACCCTACTGTGCATTTGGTCCCTCCGATCTTGAATATAAAAGGAAACAGATAATTATTTGCAATGAAAATCTTATATAAAAAAGCTGAACTACTGAATTAAAATGCACTGATGCATATAAAGAAACAATTGTTTTACACCTGCAACTGCAGTTTCAGTTGCATAATAGGACTGCAAATCAATTTACACTGCAAGTATGCATGTATTAAAATCCCGTCTCCAAGCCTCAGAAAAAAAAATCGATTGGGGGAAAAAAACAGTATACATGAGTACATTCACAATCACGAGACTATGCTGAAAAAAGGGGATTTAAAATCATCCCATAACAATGTGAAAATACAAAATTTAAGATCCGTAATAAATCACCAAGAACAGAAAAAGAACCAACACCTATTCCGCGGTCCCATCTGCTGTCCTCTGGATCGACCGCGGAAAAAAAATGGACAGCGATGTTTTAACTCAGAAGTGCATTATTAATCCACAGACATTTCTTTGCAGTTGCACGGCACAGCATCAGCATCATAAATTCCCGCGTCCACCTGACCATTGGGAATGCTATGGAATGGCCTCTCTTCATCTGTATCCCATCCGGATCGCAGGGGGAGTTTGGTGAGGGAGCTGCTCTCTCTCCATCTGATGGAGCTCGTTTCCACCTAGAATGACGTAATTTTACTTTAAGACGATCGCGAGCGCGTGGAGACAGGTTGAGGAATGGACAAACGGGAATTAAATCGCATTATGCATTTAATAGAAACGCGCTGCGTGACGCGTCAGTGGCTCAGCCATGCGGGAATCGCAGATCGCAAACACTGCATTAGTAGGCTAACGCCACTCTCTCACCTCTGCATGTTCAGATGAATACACGTTAAATGGAAAAGAAGACTAATGCAAGGTGATGAAGTTGAAAAGCGAATCCCCGGAGCCTCGTGTTGCCAGATAAAATCAGGGAGAACGGGCAAGTTGTCAGTTCATTTAAACACACTACATGGGGTAAGTTGTCACAATGGAAATCTGCCATTAAACAGCCTTTAAAAAATAATATAAAATAAATTAATACATAATTGTGATAACAGAGATACAATGGCTATTAAACATCCTTAAAAAATGTATAAAACAGTAACAAATAGGTCAAGAATAAATAATTATATAT